ATTTTATACTATAGATTGTTAATTTTATACTATAGATTGTTAATTTTATACTATAGATTGTTAGTCTGTCTTTTTTGATGATGGAGTAAAATGACAGTTCACTGCGCATTGGTTACGCTTGAGAATAAATAGCCGAACTTGTTTTACTGTTTGACTATCTAAAATTTTACAATAACTGGCAAACCTGCAAATGTCATTTTACTCCATCTTCAGAAAAGACGATTTATATGTTTAGGTTATTGCCAGATATTATATTCCATTATATTAAAGGTTGTATTTCAATAGCACTTCATTACATGAATATCATGAATTTTTCCTGAAAGTGTTTGCTGCATATTTTTTAAAACTTTTTGGGAACCCAGTCTTCTCTCTTTAGCATTATAAGCCATTTCTGTCGTACTTCAATGTTTTGAGGAAATTTGAATCAACAACAATAATTAACATAAAAAATGAGTGCCTCAACTACGCTATTAAAAGAAATTTTCGTTTTAATGTAGACAAAAAATAATGCACTAATGCAATATTAATTAAATATAAAGTACTAAAACCAGAAATTTCTGATTCAATAATATTAAGTATGAAGATGATTTCGGCTGTATGCAAGCCTCGCCTTTGCATTTCTTTTTTTCAGTTAATGACATCTCGATAACATATTATCGATTGCGTCAATCTCTATGAAAGTGAGGTTATGAATTTCAGAAATTCACGTATTTGATATATTTTTTAATTGAATTCGTATACATTTGGGTTATTAATGCACTTGAATGGTATAATTTTACGGATATATTTATGTAAAAAACTTTTGTGGTAGTGCTTTTGGACAGCTAAAAATTTAAATAGTACTTACATGTGAAATGTACAATTCTGCGAGTTTTCCTTTTTAGATGAGTTACATCCGGGTACTGAACACGTTACCATGACTAATAAACGTTCGCTTAATACTATTTCACATTTTAAAACCAATTATTTTTCAAAAATAAACGAAATTTGTTTCGTTGTCAGTTGACCCTAGGTTCATGCAGGCTCATAGCGTATCATGAAGTGGTCTCGTCTACCCATCTCGCTCTAACATACGTGTATACTAACGCTCTTTCACTTGCATTGCCAATCTATGGGTATCTATATACTAAATCTATGTACATCACCATGAATTTAACTCGTGAAAATTTTTGTGGTAATTTTTTCTACGACTAAGTGTAAGTGAACAGCTCAGCGATGCTTCGCTCGGCTTCAAACTGGTTTTTTCGATGAAGCGCTGCTTGATTAGCTGGTTTGCAGAATTCAAACGCGGTCGTGTGAATCTCAGTGACCAGTGACGAATTTCATGATAGTTGCCCGTCCACTGCTGTGAACAACAAAAACATTAATGCTGTGCGCCGTATGATCAAAACAGACAGGCATGTGACATACCAGGAGATTCGGGCATCTTTAGGCATAGGCATGAGTCAAATACAATCAATATTACACAAATATTTGGGTATGAAAAAGCTGTGCTCTCGGTGGATCCCATACAATTTGACTGAGGCTCAAAAAACGGATCGCGTCACTTGGTGGAATGCCATGCTTACCAGATTCAACGAAGGGGCGTCAAATTGAAATAGGACATGGTAACAGGTGACGAAACATGAATTTATAGTTACAATCCCAAAACAAAGCAGCAATCGAGCATATGGGTCTTTCGAGATGAGCCGAAACCAACCAAAGTGGCGCGCGTGCAAATTGCCTCTAAGCGGGTATTCTTTTTTTAATGAAACTGAACACGTGGCTACTGTTGCTTTGGAGAATCCTTGTAACGTGAATAGTGATTGGTACACGACCATTTGTTTGCCTGAAGTTATTGACAAACTCCGTAAAAATAACCGTAAACGCCGTATCATCTTGCACCACGATAATGCCAGTTCTCACACGGCCAGACAGACAAATGATTTTTTTTTATCAGCCATCCCGCGTACAGTCCCGACCTGGCACTCCGAGTGGTTAAATTAAAAAAAATTGTAACGTAAATATGAATTATTTGATAGGAAATAAGATGTAAAATTTTATCTTGATTTTAATAATTCTTGGCAAATTTAATTTGTAACTTGTGATATTTCTTGTAACATTTTTATTGTTGTCGTATTTTAATATAATATGGTTGTTTACTATGCGAAACATGTTTGTTCTGACACTGTGTCTTGTTACATCTTCTGTTATACCAAATTAAGCAAATAAACGTAATATTAATATTATATGTGATTTTATGATTATCGATAATAGTACTATTATTATATCAGTAGGTACTTAATTTCATTTATTTCAAAAATTAAAAGGAAGTGTTAAAGATTCACCTAAATCAAAATCACTGATATTAATTCTATACCAATGCATAAATACAAAACAGCTTACACTATTTGGAAACCTTTTCAAAATTTCTTTATCAATCTTGATAAAGATCATCATTATAAATAATAAATCATGACTAATATCAATCAGACGTTATATGTATTCGATGCATTTACAAATAAATTAACAAAATGTCATTTATTCTATTCTATTCTGCGAATAATCAGCATCGATTATTCGCAGAAATAGAACAAGATATTTCCAAATGGGATATTGATAGACTTTAATTAAACGTATTAATCCTACTTTGATTACAGTAAACTAAAGAAACAAAAAAGTTTCAAGATTCAACCATACATTTGCATGTCGATAATGACTTATCGATAGATTAAGTTGCAACACTAAAGAATTCCGCCATTTGTAGCGTTAAATTTTTGTTTGGATGTGCACTGACAGCTCCTTTTATTTATTTTGTTTCCATCCTCTAAGGTTTCGGTAGAACATTTTGAATTTATTGTAGACAAAGAGAACCAAAAAGAATCTTGAAAAGAATATAATTCAGCAGTTATATCATATTAAAGCTTAGAGAACGGAAAAAAAGATTAAAAGTCATCTTGAAGCTGACACTGGCACTAGCCTAGTGAAAGCCTAGCCATAAAGGAAATAAAAAAAATGGTTTTAGCACTAGCAATTTCTACATAATTTTCTTTCGTATGCATTTTATTTGAAACATATTTTTTTTTATAATTCAGAAGCATTTCGAAGATGTCGTCTAAAGTACAAGGCTCTAGACACAATTTCGGTGCAACAACACCTTTGCGATCAGACAAAAGACAAAAACGCGAAAACAGGAAAGAAGTAAGTCACATGGACTTTTGGTAAATAGCTTTAGAACATACAGTCGTTGTTTCTACCACTACAATACTATTACATGCAACAGTGACCAATGGGTCGCTGAAGAGGATATGTTGTAAAGGTGAAGCCAGGTTAACAGTCGCAAGCTCAGCGCCTAGATAACTTGTAAAGATAGCATCACACTTAAGGGAACAAACTAAAAAACTACCTACATCAATGCCTTTAAGGTTTTAATTGAAAGTAAATTTATAGATTATTCTTAATTAAATTAGAAACGTTAGGTGTATTACTAAGTGCTGAGAGGTGTTGAAAAGATCCTGACACCCAAACCGAAAAAATAACGAAAGAAAATGTGTCCAAATGCAGGTTTGTCTCTCTCTAGGTCTCACCTCTTAAGTATAAAATAGATAAACACAAAACTTATATTGGTGGTGATCCACCTCTGCCGTTACTACATTTTGGATGCTGGCCGTTATAAATATTTATGTTTTATAAAAATAAAATGCGTTCCTGACAATTTCATATACACATAAACATGTTTTTTTTTATGGTTAGGTATTATGTGATATAATTTCTTTTACAAAAACAAAAACTTCCATGTACACTTTGAACAGACCTTTATTATACATAACAAAATTTAGAAACAACAATATTATACTTTATCTATTTGCGAAATTCAAATTTACCTATTAGTATCAGGAATCAGTGTTCGAAATGATGAAGATATGTATTCTCATTAATGATAATTATCAAAGAAAATAAATATCTTTACGTTTTTTAACTTTACTTTAATTAACATGAGTTAATTACCTAATAATTGTACGATATATATCCAATTGTCCAAGCTGATTCATAGTTTCTCGCTTTAATTTTTATTAAAAATTACATACACTGAGAAAACTAAATAAAAGACACATATTATACATATAATATTACGCACGTATTATTTGTTTTAGGAAAGACCAAGTGCTGACACCTCTTGTTCATACCCTATGTAAGTCCAGTACTGTATTTAAAAAAAGTTGTATTGCGTAACTCACGATTGTATATTATATTTTTATGTTGGTATACTCAAATCTGCAATGTGATTCGGTTAGTTTTAAACTCTATACATTCGAAACCCATTTTCTACTTCAATTTGTGAAGCTCAGGAATGGTTTCTGAAAAACCATCTCATTAAAGGTTGAAACACAAAACTGCGATTTGACGTCGCATCGCAGAAATCTACGAGCTCGCACGACGCATTGCAAGAATTTGCGAATTGCTCCGCATCGCGCATTCCTGCGATGTTAATCTTTTTTGTGTTTTTTTCCTCTACTTTCTTATCAATAACAGCAGTGCAACTCTCAACTCTGTTTACGATCCATGTTGCTACCTAATTTGCAAATTCTCATCGCGCCGATTCGCAGTTTTGTGTTTCTACCCTAAGAGGCCGAGGTTCTCTGCGTGCTACACGTATCAACAGGAACAGCAGTCCTTAAAAACCAAAACATCGTTATAATGTTTGGTTCTGAAACAAACCAGGATTTGCTTAAGGGACAGCGTAAACCGGCGGACGAGGAAGCAGAGGACATTAAATTTATCAATTTATATTTTATGCTAAGTAGCAATTGAAATAAGGTATAAATTTAAATGCTCTGAGACTAATCTCGGAGCATCGCAGCGCATGTTTATTAGCGATATGGAAGAGCTTGCTAGAGGATGCCGCAGCGGGAAAAGCGGTGTAAGCAACGAAACCTCTGGTAGGCGCCGGAATTTAGCAATGTGCGCCCGAGTCTGCCGGAATGCGGCGGTGAAGATCGACTGCAAAATGACTCACTTTTTTTTATGATAGAAAATTAACGGGACGAACAGGTCGTACATTGCAGTGCACACTCAGAGCGTAAATCGGAAAGATTTAAGGGGCACTGCCATTGCGCCCATCACCCTGATGGCGCATTTATACACCGAGTTCGGCAAACTAGTTCTAGCTGAAAGCGACTCCCAGTTGCTGCGGTCCACTCTGACTACAAACTATCGTTGTCAGATGACTCACTATTTACACCGGGTAGCTTGCCGCCTCCAGCGGGCGAACGTACCTCGCCTGATGACTTAGTGTAAATGCGCCTTAAGAGATAAGTTGACAGGTTCCATGTGCCTGTAATTTCACTAGTGTTCGCCAGTAGAAGGGATTCAAATCCGTGCGACAGTTCACAAGCCGGATGCCGCGGCATTCCAGCAGAATCTGCGGTGCGCTGCTGGTGGATGCTCGTGATATCGTAGTATCTAATCAGTGTGCGCGGGCAAAATACGATCCTCGTAAATGCCCTTTCTGGCCGGCCGGTTTACGGTGGGCCTAACAGTCTTGAGTAATTAAAAATGTATTTTATTTCTTGGAAATAGGCGTATTAGGTATTTAATCGTGCGACAAATATTTTACCAAAGTCATTTTATGATTTGTACATTTTGCAGTTTGGCCTATTTTCCGTCTTGTTTGTTTGGTACCATTTTGGAAGACACTATAATCAAGATACGAATTCTGAGTATGTAATAGTCTTACCTTACGCTTTTTCTCAATATTAGGTCATAAGGTTAAATTTCAATTGCCACGGAACGGAATAGCGATGTTTTATAACAATAGCATAAATAAACTTTTAAGATGATTCTGTGGCTCTAGTGAAAAGGGCTACAAGTAAAAAAGGCCAACTGTACAAGGAAACGCGAAAAACACTTAAAGCTTAATACCCTATTAAGTTTTAACTGCTTTTCGCGTTTCCTTGTAAAGTTTGCTTTTTTTACCTGTATCCCTTTTCACTTTTTTGGCTCTAGCCCACATAATTGTGTACAAATAATAATAATAAAACAATACAAAACTACAAATTAGATACGAGCTAAAAAAAACAGATCGCGCGTCTTTCGAGAATTCGCGCAGCTGCCGTGACATACGTAGTTTGTACGACGATATAAAGTTCATAATGCTATGTACAATTTCGTTAATTTTGTTTCAACTAAGCTTTAGTGTCGTATCTCAATACAAAAATACTTATACAATATTTATACTTAAAACCTTGTTTTTAGTTGACTGCAACATTGAAGGCACTATAAATAGCATCTTGGTAGATATTGACTCGCATATCAAAAAAAAATACGGCATAACGCAGCCTGCAGTCGTTGACTTGGAAGATTTTATTGGCAAACGTGATATCGAAGCCGATGACTTCAAGATGTTTAAAATGAGCAACGACAGGTATTTACTTTGGAAATTTTGGATTTGAATGGGGTTATGAATACGTACCTACAATACAATTGTAAAGAAGTTACGAAACCTAAAACATCAGTTTTTAGAATTTTTGTCAGCATGTCTGTGAGTTCTATTGAAGAGGTCTTAAAACAAGGCCAGGTCACGTGTACCTGTATTAAACCAACAAGTATGTGTGAAAAGCACTTGATGCGTGGTGAAATATGTGTATCAGAGTCGTAGTAAATGTTGTCCTACCTTACCCCGATGGGAAAAGGGCGTATAGAAGTATAAAATATATGTATGTAGTCCGTGCATTTGTGCACGCTAATCTCTAGAACGGCTGAACCATTTTGAACGCGGTACTCGGTGATATATTAAAATAAGGTTGGATTTACGTTTAGTGTTTGTTTTATTGAAATCGGTACACAAATAAAAAATATATGCCAGTTTTAAAGTACACTATAGTGTACACGACATCCGATATCCAACGAAGACGACGACACCAGTCGTCCTAAATAATATTATTATAATCTTAAAGTACAATTTAACATAAGCATCGCAATGTTAGTGCATTATGTTTTTATGTTATAAACTATAACACAAATCTTTCGAATAAATAGCAATTTCATTTTTACTTGACATCGTTGCATTTCGACGTTATTTTGTGATTTTATATCGTCATGCGTCCTAGAGCCACACGGTGTCACTAATTATTTTGGTAGGTACTGTAGCGTTGTAGACTAGGGTTGTTGCGAAGATAATCTGCATATCAGCATCCGCATTCATCGATGCTGATATTTAATGCGGATGTCTGAATCGTGACAGGACTTGAAAAGTCGCTGAATCGCGAATAATTTACAAATCTTCCAGAAATAGAATGTTGGCCGAAAAAGCAACTCAGCCGCAGTTAAGCTGTTGTTTTTATAACTTGTATATAAGTAGTTCACCAGCAAACTGCGTTATGTGCGTGGATAAAAAAATAGCTATAAACTAAAAAAAACACTATTGTTCTGGAAACGGATTTTTAAATGGTACTTTTTTAATTATCTGAAAATTGTCACAAAAATGAGATAAACAATACGAAGAAACAACTTTTGCAGCAGTAATCTGAAAATAACTACTTTCGTAATTGTTCAGATTGAACGTAGCTAGTTTTGCAACAACACTATGATAACATGGCTAGTTTTGTTGTACTTAATAATAGTAAAAAATACAACTTGAATCTAATTTTAATTTTCCTTTACACTCTTATATCCACGTCGTCAACCATCAATGTACCTTCATTATCTGTCATTTCTTCTTCTTCGATCACATTTGATTGCAATTGCCCGATAATATGAGTATACAACTCAAGAATTTCGTATGTAAACCAATCTTCTCCGAAATGTTTGACGATCAAGTTTTTATTAAATGAACAAAATAGTGAATATCAAACAAAATAACGGATTTCGCACGAGTTTATATCTTATCTATATATTATAATCAATAGAGCAGCGTTTGCAGGTTAACGACAAAATGGCAACTTTTGAAAGTGTAAAACTAACTTTTGCAAAAGTAGTCAATATTTGACACTGATTTGTTCAGAATATGCCAAGTTTTAGCACTGTATTGTTGAAGTATTTGAAATTATTTAAAATACTGATCCATTTCACGCCTTTAACTAGAAATCATTAAAAATTTCACATAGTGCTATTTGCAAGTGGACTACTATATAAAGATTCATTGTTTTGTTAATAAATGTCTCAAAATCATTGAAATAATATTTTATTACGTACAATACAAAAAAAAGCTTTTTCATGTAGATAGATGTAGAGAGCATGTAAATTTTTCGCGTTTTCACACATTAGCATCCTCGTGATATGTAAAAAGCCTGTATCATCAACAACCCTGTTATAGACCAACACGGTGTCTTTACGGTACAGTTGTGTTTCATCCACCGTTTTAAAATAAGTCTTAAAATTATTTGAAAAAACAAAAACCCGACTGTAAATATATTTGGATGGAACGCAAAAAAAAAATCCCCCCTTACTAATACTAAGCAAGACGAGTCTAACGACACCTCACATGTCAAAATACATCTAGCCGTTTACGCTGTACAGCGTGAAAAAGAAATGGACATACATAAATACATACACTTGAAAAACATAACAAAAAATGATTATAAAAAAAGTTACCAAACTCTTTAGGTTTTTAGCCGTGCGGTGACGGATTAGAATACAATTCACCGCCCCTCTCTTCCCGTGGGTGTCGTAAGAGGCGACTAAGGGATATTGAGCAACCAACTGCTCCACTGGTGGTAGGGCTTGAAAACCCGCCTGGTTAGTGACCACCGTGCGCATGATGAAAAACCCGCCAAGTGTTCGCTAGTCGGATGCGTTCCGGGATCAGTCAGCGTACAACCAGAGCCCGAGGCAACGCTGCCGCGACATTTGTGGTCTGTGGAGGCTTCCGCCGAACCAGTGCCAGGACAACTGCATTGACCCGCCGGCCAGGGAGACCCGTAGAAACGGTTGTTCCGCTGGCCGCCCGCGGTACAGTACAGGGGCCCAAGCGTGCTTAACCAGCTCGTGAGGCTGCCTCACCATGCCGCGCATAATCTCGGTGTGGTTCGTCGTGCCGGTTGGTGACCGGGAGGTGGGGTCCCGGCGGCCATTCCCGGGGGGGTTCGGGGGCCCTTCCGTCCGGCGGATCAGCGCAACTTGTCTGTAGGCAAGTCTCTGGGGAAGCAGGCCCCGCGATTTGACCGCTTGTGTCGCGGCACTGTTTTCTCGCTTCACGCCTCTTTTTCCCTCCAACATGTTAGCGCAAAGTACAAATTTCGGTCGTACAGCGGTGCACACCCCCACCACTAAAGCGCTCTTTAAGGTGGAGTTCACGAACATTCGAGGACTCCACAGTAACATCCACGCCATCCACCAACATCTTGAGACGGCTCGACCAGAAATGCTGTTCCTTACGGAGACGCAAATACTCTGCCCGGCTGACAGCAGCTACTTGATTTACCCTGGCTATATGCTTGAAGAGTCCTTCAAAGCGAAAGCTGGGGTCTGCTTGTTTGTCCGGGCAGATGTTTGCTGTCGCCGTCTGCGTCATTTGGAGGACCCCTCCTTCTCCATCCTTGGGATACATGTTGACCTGGGTAGTCATTGCCGTGTCTACATGTGCCTCTACAGATCCCACCACGGCGACATGGAGACAACTCGTCTCATAGACCACCTTACTCGGGCGGCAGATGACGCGCAGGCGCAGTTTCCTACAGCGGAATTGGTGTTTTTAGGGGACTTCAATGCTCACCACGAGTCGTGGTTAAGTTCCTCTAAAACTGACCATGCTGGAAGAACTGCCCACACATTCGCTCTCACACACGATTTAATCCAACTGGTAAACCAGCCCACCCGGATTCCAGATAGGGTTGGTGACGCGCCCTCTTTGTTGGACCTTCTGCTGACGTCTCGCCCGGCTGGATATCGGTTGGAGGTCCAAGCCCCTCTGGGCACTTCGGATCACTGCTTGATATCCACTAAAGTGGCAACGTTACTGCCACCACCACCTACTGTGGCTAAACGCCGCATTTGGCATTATGCGTCGGCAGATTGGGACGGTATGCGGGACTATTTTGCATCCGTTCCCTGGCGGCAGCGCTGTTTTAGTGAGGTGGATCCAACAGCTAGCGCGACTGCCGTTGCTGATGAGATCTTAATCGGGATGGAATACTACATCCCGCATTCGGATCTCGTCAGTAAAGGGAGGCGCAACCGCTGGTTCAACCGCGAGTGTGCTGTGGCTGTTGAGAACAAACAGACTGCATACCGCGCTTGGATCAGGGGTCTAGCTTCAGACGATCCCAATACGAACTCACTTAAAACAGCCTACAATAATGCCACCAGGTCTTGCAAAAGAGCGTACATCAGAGCGGATGCTCAGCGCGTCGCACGAGTTGGCCAAGAACTCCTGACGCATCCCACTGGTAGTCGTAGCTACTGGCGTCTGGCCAGTGCTGTTGCGTCGAACTTCTGCCAGCCCTCGCTGCCCCCGCTGAGATATTCTGATGGCAATCTAGCCCACAAGCCGCAAGATAAAGCCGACCTCTTGGCAAATCTGTTTGCGGCTAACTCCTGTCTCGACGACTGTAACGCACAGCCACCAACTCTACCTCACTGTGGCTACACGATGTCTGATATTCGTATCAGACAATGCGATGTGCGTACGCAGCTGCAGTCTCTCGACGTCCGGAAAGCTAGTGGTCCTGATGGTATCCCAGCGATTGTACTTAGGAACTGCGCAGCTGAGTTGACCCCCGTGCTAACGCGACTGTATCGTCTGTCGCTCTCTTCAGGTCGTGTGCCGGACTCTTGGAGAGAGGCTAATGTGCAACCAGTTCCCAAAAAAGGCGACCGATCAGACCCACATAATTACCGTCCCATAGCCATTACTTCCATAATATGCAAGGTTTTAGAGCGGATCCTTAACAAACAACTGACCCAATACCTAGAAGATCACTCCATAATAAATGATCGGCAGTATGGGTTTCGTCCGAAACGATCAACGGGTGACCTTCTAGCGTACTTATCGCATATTTGGGGTGAGGCTATAGACAAACGTGGCGAGTCGTTGGCTGTTAGCCTCGATATAGCCAAAGCATTCGATCGGGTCTGGCACAAGGCTCTTCTCTCCAAGCTCCCGGCGTACGGTTTGCCAGCCCAGTTATGCAGCTGGACTGCCGATTTCCTTCGTGAGCGGAGAATTCGCGTCGTTTCTGACGGCAGCATTTCGAGGTTCGTGAATGTGAACGCCGGCGTACCGCAGGGATCCGTCCTATCTCCCACGCTTTTCCTACTGCATATCAATGATATGCTTCCACTTGGGAATATTCATTGTTATGCAGATGATAGCACTGTTCATGGGGGATATCACGGATTCCCCGCAGCTGGGCGCGCCGATACTGACAGAGAGCGATCTAATCTTGTCGGTGAGCTCAATAGGATATTGGACCTCATCTCTGCATG